CAAATAATTTAAAAATAAAGAAATATTTTTTAAAAACCTATACAGAGTTCTTTAATTGAAAATTCAGATATAGCTTTCAGAAAAATGTTCTCTTACACAAAAACTTCCATATCCTCCTTAGTTTGTTTGGTCTTGTATTTATCTAACAAGTAATACTATAGAAACAAACTGAAGTTGCTTACAGTGGACCACATCTTCATTTACCATCAGATATCTATTGACTTAGCTGACTATTGGGCTCAGAATTTTCAATATCAGTCCTTCACACATTACATTATTCAAAAAGTTAAAGTTTTTGTCATTTATTCTACCGTGTCAAATCCACATAGTTGTCTCTTGCTATATAATGATGCTGAGGCAACCAAAATATCTTAATTCTGTGTCTTGAGACTCATTGAAGACTATAGACCTTTATCTTCCTTAAAGCAGATGCATTTAAAATGAAAAAAAAAGTGCCTTCCATTTTTTAACTCTGATTTTCATCTACCAGGTTGCATCATAAAACTGAGCTATAATTCCTTTAAAACTCTTCTCTAGAGTGACATTCAAGGTCCGTCAGTGAAGCAGCCATCATCCTGTCCTGGGAAATCAATGGACTAATTGAGCTCTTATATGAAACCACATAAAGCAGTTAAGAATAGATATATGAATGACATTCATGGGCCAGACGCTCACTTGATGTAAGGAGTGTATGTAGCTTACTCGGCTCTGATCACACTATAGCAATTTATACTACAACATGAGGGCTTGGCACTAATCACTCAATAGCCTTTCAAAATGAGGAAGTTTTCCCCAGAACCGAACTTTCTTCATAACATTGAAGGGAAAACAAACCATTCAGCTTTTAAGGGTGAAAAGTAATAGCATTATTTTCTACTACTTTGGCGTTCAGCTGTGTGATGGTAGCTTTTCTTTAAATATCTTAATTTTCTGTGAGAAAAATACTAATGCAAAATAAAGTAGCATTATGAATTACTGTATATATTTAAAAAAGCCATTATCCTATTATGAATCTGTTGAGCCATGCATTTATTTTTAGTCTTGATGTTAAATACAAATCTCCAGTTGCCTTGCATATTCCTTTAATGGAAGGCTGAAATCCTCACTGAAATCCTAATTATGCCACACTGCTTTCTGCAGCAGGACTCTTGTTCCTTAGGGGATTGTGACCCAATGAAATATTTGGGACATCTTTCACATCCATACTTACTGTGGCTCACAGAAATGTTAATGAAAATTAATCATGTGCAGCAAGTGGAGAATGGAGCTTCTGCTTATTTTAACATCCTTAATGGAGAAAAGAAAGGTTAGTTTGAATATAATACAGCATTTTATTTCATGATTTTACAAATTTTATTGTAAATCATCAATCAAATGCAATAGCCAATTTTTTCCCATTCCAAACCAGCATAATCAGGAGCTTTTATTGTGTTGTAAGACAATTACTTTTCCCCCCTTTGTACTTTAAAGAATTAACTTAAACTTAAGTATGCATTACGTAAGTATACTTATTTTCACAATCTTTGCTGAAGATGTTTTTATTTTCGGTTTTTACTTCAGACAAAGAAAACTTCTTGTTTGTTATCACATAAATGGGGATGAAACTCTCACAAATATCAGAGATTTTGCTTTCTCAGTACCTATTCACAATGAAAATGGCCAGCTCAGTGTCTATGAAGATATATGAGAACTGGGTAGTAGACACAAACCTCCCCCTACCCCTCCACCCAAATTTCATTAAATATTTTCTACAGTTTGAGTGATATATCTTATCTTCCTGTATTAGAAAGATGATAAGGTTAAATTATGCTCTAGTAAACAAATGGTCTCATCACTCATCAATGACTGATTATTTATGATAAATTTTAAATTAAGATTTTTATTACTAATTTAATCTAGCCAAATGATATATTTTCCTCATAAAGAGGTCTTTATAAGCTTTTGTGACTAAGATAACATTCCTACATAGTAGGTTATGTCCTATATATTTTTTGTTGGGATACAAATAAATTTACACTGGACAGAGGTTCAAGATTCATCATCCATAGGGCAGGATTTCCAAAAGCTATGTCCAGGAATTCATTATAAGCAGGACATACAAATTAGTTTTTTAGCAATGAAAAGCCAGATCCTGCAAAAACTTATCACAATGTGCTGTACAGGCTCAGAAATCCCAGACCATTTTCTGGCTGAAGGTGTGGTGGCAAGAATCAGCAGGATAGGGCACTAAACTGAGGCTTTTGTAAGTACTAGTACTGGCACAGAGTACTGTACATATATTGCTCAAATCACACAGCAAAAACAAAACAACTAAAACTGACATTTTTTAAAATTTTGTGCATTGGATTCAAACAGCAAACTGAGTGCACTTCAACTGCTATCACAATGTGGTCAAGAGGTCTGTGTCTTTTACCATTTACACACAATTGTTCATGACAGCATGTTATCAGCCTAGTGGAAACCAGGGGTGTAGCATGGTAAGCAGTGGTGGTAGTGCACCTAGTTTTTATATTATCTAACTTGAAAATATGTCTCTTCTAAGATTCCTTTTTCTTGATAAAAATAGTTTTCACCAAACGTTGGTGGTACGCACACACTACCAGTCATGCTTGGCATCACACCCCTGACACATGTTCTTATTTTGTTGATAAAAAGTATTACAAAAATTTCCATACAAAAACTATTTTCATAGAAATCTTGCATTTCCACAAATAAACCTGAACATTTTTTTTTGAAAAAAAAACTGCTCAAGAATTTTGTTCATTTAGTACTGTGACTGTATTGAAAAATGCAGTCTTTAGTTCTCCACATTTGCTTCTTTTAGGTGACCCATCCCACTTCCAATATTAGTGAGAATTACACAGGCTCCACTGAGTTCAATTAGTAGCAGGAAAAAGGGTTTCAAAATTCATTCAGGCTAAAACACCAGCCCGCTATGTGCCAAATAGAATGCTTCCCAACTCCTTCCCTCTTCTCACAAGAAAAAACAGGTAATTGTTTACATCTAAGGGTTCTAGGATACATTTCTTTGTACTCAGGTAACTTTTATTCATCTAAAAATCATGTCAAAATTATGGATTTTTTTTTTAGGTAAGAGTTCCAACCCAGGTAAATTTAAGTTACTAATTAAAAAAAAATATTTACTCAGTTCAGTGACACAGATAGTCCAAAAAGCAAGTGAGCATCCCCTTATTTAACCTTCCATTCATGGGATTCATGTTCTCTTCATTTGAACATTTCTCCCATCCCGTAAACTGATATTGCCTGTCCAATCACAGTGTCCAGCTGGCAATCACAGTCTGTAGATAAGGAATGGCAGCTATCAACTCTTCTATGCTTGGAAATTCAGAAGAACATACTGTTTCTCATTCCAGTCCAGTTTTGACACATTATTTTTGATAGCCTCCTCCTTTGGTTAGTGCCACCCTGGACACTTATTCTCTATCTCCTGGCAACCATTGAACTTCAAAAGGAACCTGTAATTTCTCACTGAGACTGCATTTGAAACCAGCCACAAAATTCACATGTAACATTCACTCATCCAGAATGGTGGAACCCATGGCAAACAGTGTAACCCCGCGTAACTTGGTTGATCTGTGATGCTTGTGATTCGAGTCTGGCCATTGCAACTGCTGAGATCACAGAGTCTCTAGTTCATAGACACAGCGGCATGAGGTAACTCATTTTATTTTGCACAGGTTGCATATTTCCACAGGAAACATTCTCGCAAAGTTGTTTGGAAAAAAGACGACAGTTTGTGCTTGGGGTATTTGGCTTCCCAGCTCTACGCCATGGTTTCTTTACCTGGCAACCTTCTGTCGTTAAACGTGTGCATGTTGATAACTTCTTCTGTTTTCACAATGACAGGGGCCTGTGGCTTGTGTTTTAATCGACGCTGACACTTCAGAGACATCCTTAGTTCCTCTATCATGGCACTACAGAAGGACCTCTGAGGGGGAAATTGAGGAAAGAGAAGAAGACAAAAAAAAAAAAAAAGAAAGAAAAAAGAAAACAGAAACAAAACACAACTGTAAGAAATGTCCAGATGCAATGCCTAGAAGAAGATTCATTCCTCTGGCACAGCCTTGTCAGTTCTGTAAGTTTGCTTTGTCTCAGCCTGGAGCTCATAACAAATTGCTGTCTTTTAAATATGCATCACATAATAATTAAAATGACTTATCCAGCTGCGATGACTCACTGCAAAATTCACCTTGTCTCTACAATTACTTATCTGCCAGCTACTGACTGTGGATGCACATGATATATAAAAATATTTCAAACAGATGTTCTGTTAACATAGGTTAGACTTACAAGATAACATCTGAATGTAACATGTTCATTAGGTACTCAGTAAAATTTTCTTGCCTGTATTTCAAAATAATATACTTCATTTTTATATGGTTAAAACAGATCTTCCTTAACAAAACAGTAGAGCTTGGTGTAAGAAGTTAACCTAAATTAATGTCTAAATACCGCTAAAATGCAGGTGCACTACTGAAAACAAATATCTAATTCATTATTTTGAGTATCATCTGTTTCTAAATAGTTCTTGTTCATTACTGAATGTAATTTATGGAGAACATGTTTGCAAAAAAAAAACCCTTTTAATTTCGTCTTTATGAAGAGCATAAGAAAAATGTTTATTAATAGTTTCATCATAGGCTAAATCCTCCTAAATTTTATTTTTCAAAATCTGCACTCAGCTTCCAACCTCAAACGCTAAAGGCACTCAGATCAGTAAGACACTCAGTTTTCAACATCAAACTTTACAGGCCTGACATCTGACTATAGCCCAGAGAAATTTACTCTTCAAGCTGCTAAACACATCATCTCTTGGCTTATTCCCCCAGAACTCACCAACACTCCAGTTCTCCAAGCCTCAGGTCTTTGATTCAGCTGACCCAATAAACTAAGTTCTTTAAAAAATGGGGCAACTATGAGGAAGCCTATATGACAGACTTTACAATTGTTTTTCTTGTGCTGCCATTTAATACATCTCTTTAACATCACCATCAGAGTGCACAAGGAGAATATGAGACCCCTGAGAGCATTGAATTAATTGTGTCTTCTGCCGGGGCAGGTTCAAACACCGGTATCTTGGCAGTGTGCTGTAACCTACAGGCAACAGACCACTTCAGGGCAATAATCCTTTCAGCTGCCTCCTGCAGATACCATGCCACTTTGCACAGAGGCATTAAAGAGAAGCAGAGAGGCAACAAGGGAGAGAAGAGAGAATAGAGATGTTCTGCACATTACAGACTAGGATACTCAAAGTGGCAGAGGAAGGGCTTCATTTGTAGTTCTTGTTTCAATGAGGACCTCAATATTTTTATGTAAAATCCTTGGTTATTGCAACATAGTGCAAATATGAGTTGTCTCAGAGTTCGGGTAGAATTGAACCTGAATCCCCAACTCTGAACAAATGTTCCCTTCTCTAATCCTTTAGATGAATATGGGAATAGACAGGAAAGAAGAAAAGGAAGGAAGAAAGAAAGAGTAATCTTCCTCTAATGGTAATACTCTTCTGTTCAAACACATCTTTTCCTTGCTGAGTTTGAAACAAAGTAATGACACTTTCTCAGTTTGTGACAGAAAGGCTTTAGCCACATACGTAACTAAGTTTGAAGTTGTGAATCCAGACAAGAGGCAGGTATATCTCTATGACAGAGAGTCAAGCACACGTCCTTCAGAGGCCAAAGTTTAATACTAAATTCATCATTCTGACTGGTTACATGGAGTGACTTCTGGAGTGGACTCTCATTATCATGCTTATTTAAAAGCATTCCTCTTTACTAGACTAATACCCAACATAGAAATTAGCCCTACCACTGTGTGAATGAGGCGGCTAAATTTTTTAGAAAAATGCTCTGTACTGTCATGTTTCAGATTCTCATGTGTTTCTATCTTATTAACATTGTGAAGAAAGCAGGAAGCTGTATCTGTGTTTTATCCAACTGCATTTTGAAATAAGAGATCAAATTCTCTTAGACTTTTTAAGGAAGTGCTGTCACTTAACATCAGAAATACATTCATGATTTTCAATCTGACACTAAGCCCTGAAATCACTAAAAGGAGCAAGATTTAATTTAATATTCCCCAATGTCCTACTGGCTAAACCACTAAGCCTTGCAGATCTACTACCTTAGCATTTTCATTATGTGAGGATCCTAGCACATAAATCAGGAATTTCACTAGGAAAACAGCAAGTTGCAACTGCTGGCACGGGTGGCATAGCAGCACCTCCACCCAGTATATGGCATTTCTTCTCTGCCACGATAACTAACAAGAGTGGCAAGAAAGAATGAATCCTTTTCAAAACGCATCAGTCAACCAAAAACTTTCTCACTGATCTGCAAACACTTACCCAAGGATATCGGCTTTTAGGCATTATCAGTGTGAACAATATTACAGTCATTGGACAGGAGGAGATACATATGCTTAATGTCAACACTCTGAAATATCCTGAAAATTGGATCGCAGGAAAATTGCCAACACATTTTATCAGATAATTTTTACCTGGATCTGAAAATTCATTAAAATGAATTCCATAAAATGAGAAATTTTGGAAAGACTGACAGTTTAAGTGGCATATAATATAATTTCATAATAATTATTTTATCTAGAAAATGCATCTAGTCTGTGTTTTCAAAATATGTTGTATAAATAAGTTCCTGGGAACTTAATTGTATCCTCTATTAAAAATAAGTTTAGATTAGTTTTTTTCCAACTTATACACACTTGTATTTTAAAACATCAAATATCTGAAAATAGTAGACATTATTAGTCCTAGAAGGTAACATTTTTTGATAACCAAAAACCTAGTAAGAGAAATATTACATATTAATTTTGCAAATTTCTCTCTTTGGAATGATCACCTATTTTTAAAAAGATGAAATTGAGACTATATAAAAGTCAATATCTATATCTTTAGTTTCCTTTGGATTTTACCTGAGAAAAATAGCATAGGGAAGATTTTTCCCATGCACTGCAAAGCCATGTTCAAAAAGTTTACAAAGGGTTATTTCATGCTTGACCTTTTCTTAATAGATTTTTTTCTCTTTTCTATTCTAGCCTGATTATTTACCGTTTTCTGTCTTTCCAAAGTTTGTTTTCCTATATTGCTAGAATACCACCTTTAGAGTATTAAGTCATGAAATAACAAACTAGCACTCAGATTAGACCACATGATAGATAAATGACATTTTCAGACAAGATTTTAAATGACATAATCCAATGTTTCAATTCTGATTTCAGGTGGCCTTTCACATTGTTAGGTAAAAATAGTGAAAAATTTGCATAACTATAGTCTGTATTTCAAAAGCTCTTTACACCTCCAGAATGTTCCTTGTTTATATTTTGAACAATTCTCCTTTTACTTCAAAGAAAATAACCTTTTGCTCCATCTTACCTTCCACTCCGCAAGCATGTTATGAGATCATCAGTTATTGAATTAGATTTTGCTAACTCTTACAAAACCCTAAATGGTCTTCCTAAATGTTTGCAGAGAGTAAATGCTGCCTTCAAGTCATCTTACATATAATCAAGCAGTAGAAGAGTTGAAGGAAGTCATACAATTCAATGATCATTAGCTAAGTATAATTGTTTTTTGCACTTAGAGAATAATCATCATAAAACATTAGAAAAAAAAAGGGCTGTGGTTCTAAGCAGAAAGTTGAAATGTACAACAGAAAATTTTAATCAGTACTGTAGTCCTTTAGCCTTTTCACACAAGGAGTTCTGCCAAAGCTCATGTCCTTATGAATTGCAAAGAACTGACTAATATCCCTTTTATTCTTTACTGCAGCTAACAGTTCACAAGTCATGTAGGATCAAGATAATCATTCTGCAGATTCTTGCCATTGTTTACAGTCTATTTAGACAGCTTGTGCATGGCTCAGGCTAATTTCTCAGCGTGAAAATAATGTAATGTACCTCTGTGTGCATATATGAATATGAAAGCCAGACAATATTTAAAATGTTTTCATTATATTGCTTTACAGGATATTTAGAAGGAAAGGTAACTAGAAATCATATTAGTATTTTTATCCAGAGTTATGAGACTATCACCATAAATTTTTCTTTTAGTGTCCTAAAAAGAAATAATTATTGAAGATAAAAATAACAAGACCTGATAGAACAATGTTAATGCAGTAAAGGCGTGCCTTACATCAAAGTGAAATGGATTACAGAACAATACAGTCCATACATAACCTGAAACCACAGTACTGTAAAAACAAGATAGGAATGACATGACTCTAACACGCCTAAAATTCTGGTGTTTGTGAATAATAAGTTCATCTCTTTTAAATAAAAGAGGCCCCCATCATTTGCCTTTCATAGATCTCTTTTTTCCCCTCTCTTTGATGGAGTTAATGTGAAGTCAACTGTCAAAATTCAGTACAAAACTGCAAGATTTACTCAGAAGTTCATTACCCTCCAGCCTTGCGTGTCAAATATTATTTGAAGCCTTGCTAAACTTTCTTAAAGCAGTAACAAACAGAAGTAATCCTGCATCTTAAATCAGATGTTATGGGTCAATGTTCTAGCATCTAGGAGAACATATCAATCAAACTGTTTTTCATTTTCTTGAAGTTATCCAAGAATGAATGCATAGCGCTACCCTGACCCTCTCTTTTAATTTGTTTCTGCTTCCATATGCCAGTTCTCTGGGGATTCTGAATGTGTATACAGAAAACCCATCAACCTTAAACCTAGGGAAACACTGACATAGGATCACAGAGAGATGAGCAATTAACAGAATGAAAACAGACAAAAAAAAAATCACATTTCCTTGCAGCTGAAGCACTACCTTTTCAAAAAGTTTTTGGTTTGGTTTGCTACAAAGCTAGTCTTAGATGTGATTGTCAACTCGAATGTGTATAATACAGTTATGTAAAAAGTACTATATTTTGCCACTGATATTTTTCATGCAGTATATTTTCAATCCGT